TTTTGCTGTTTATTTATTTTATTTTTAATTTTTTAAAAAAAAATTGATTTTTTTTCATGTTTTTCGAATTTTTTTTAAAAATCCGACGTGGCATGCTGATATGGCAAAAAATCTATGTGGCGTGCCACGTCAGCCGCCACGTGGCGTACCACGTCAGCGTTTAACGGACACTTAACACCGTTTTCGGATTATGTAGGAAATTGTAGTTAAATTGGGTAGTTCGTGTACCTATTTGGCACATTTGATAATTTGGTGTAGTTTTTTGTCAAATTAAAAATTCGTGTATGAAAAGGTCACATTTTACAAAGTCGGTCTAGAAAAATGTCATTTTCCCTTTTTATTATTTGAAATAAAAATATAGCAGAGTAGTAATTCTCTCTTATTATTTTTTTACATCCTCATTATCTTTTTTCATATGAAATAATAAATCAATCCATGTACAAATATATCACTCAAATACCACCTTGTAAATAACTTTTATATTGTTATTATGGTGTCTAAAAAATATTTATGTAAATTTATGTATAAGTTCATTTAAATTTGAGAATGTTGTTTTACCTTGACGTGTCAAAGAACCTATATCACTTGCATTTACGGGGTCCAATTTTAATACAGTGATTGTAATAAGATGAAACAGTCAAACAAGAACCAATTCCAAAAAAATCTAAAATATCTTATAAAAAGAATCATGAATTAAATTATTGCTTGACACTTATTAATTATACTAAAAATAAACAATTCCCTCCTCTGATGCGGATTGCACGTCCAACATGCAGTGTGAGATATAAAAAAAAGGAAGAATGAAAAAAGTAAACGTTGAAGATAAAAACCAGAAAAAATGCAAAATAAAAAACGTAATTTTAAAATAATTCTTATATTTATTAAAAAAATTAAAAATTGATATATTTATATAATATATTTATAAAGATATATTATTTTAATAACTGAAAGTTAGATATTAATTACTTCAAACATTAAGATAGGATTTTTGGACAATAATAATGTAAAATACAATTAATTGTTAATAGCAATTAAAAAATGACGAAGAAAAGCATAAAAATGTGTATTATATTTGCAAATGGCAAGTGATGATGGGAATCACTTCATCATCGTCATTGCTTTATTCTATTCGAAGACTGTCGTGGGCCGCGGGGAGCTCCTGAGAGATCGACACGTGTCATATCCACATTTGGAGGCTGCTTTTTTGTACGGTCAAACTTTATTAGTCAACGCTATCCTTGATTGAATTGTTTTGGGAATTTTAGGATCATATTTAATTCTTAATATGTTGTTAAATTCTAAAATGAACATAATTTTTTTTGAAAAATTTGATATATATGTATATATATATATACCGATTTTTACTAAGTAAATGATGATTTTGACTTCGATACCATTGTTATTCCATTGAATTTAATAAAACTTCTTAACTTGATGATTCACTCTTAATTATATTCAACTGTGATGCATTCAGTTTTATTTTGGTTTTTGTTTGAATTTTTAAAATTTATATCTATTTTTTTAAAAAAAATTAAGCCGAATTGAATTGTATTTAAATTCGATTTCTACTAAAACATTAAGATATCAAACATGCACATTTTTCTGACAGGTGTTAATCTCTTACTAATCTTACTAACTCATATGTTAATATGCTATATATTGATAGGAACAAGCCACGGGGTTATCATTACAAAAATAAAATTATAATAATGACAAGTTTTCTCGTCTGTTTCATTACTCGGCTTAGTGGTTAAGCATTTTATGACGTTGCATTTCCTTTCTACTTTTAATTTTTTTTTTAATAATAAATCATAAATTATGGAAATGATTAATCAAACCTCCCAAGGACCACATCAATCGTTAACAAACACACTATTTTCCGAAGCTATATGAAATGACCATTTCCATTATTAATGGACCTAATTTATTTAATTTTCTTGCTATTCCGCATATGTGCATTCTTTGAATCTTAGTACCATATATGGCATTATATATATATAAACTCTATCTAAAAATATTAAATTTATGATCATAATCAATCTTCAGGTAATTGTGGTAACAGTTTTGTACCTTCGAACCAAGATTATAGCTTAGAATTTCGGATAAAATTCATATTCGGGTGTTTAGAGTTTTTTTTTTCATTTTCTAAAGATTGTTGATTTAAATATATTTTTTTAATTTGGGTGGGAGTGTATATTTTTTTACACAAAGGTAATAATTTGTTTTTAAAAATATTCAATTTTTTTTTGCACAGAAACATAAAAAGACGCATGAAAATTGACGGTAATTGGTTGACGGGTTCCTGTAGTTCTCATTAGGCTTGTAAGTGTATGTATCGCCCGTCTCATTCTCTCTCTCTCCATCTCTCTCCCCAATCTCTCCCTCTCCCTCTCTCTCTCTCGTCTACCCTTTTTTTGCTAGTTTTGGAACCGACATTGCTCCTAACAAGTTGGCGTTTCTTTGCCTCTTCCTAGGAGTCTGAAGCTGCTCTCAGGTCCTTTTCTTCTTCTTCTTCCATCGTCTCTGTGTATTTCTTAAAGTTCTTTGCTTTATTTTTCCTTGTTCTTGTTTTTGTCTTATTGTTTGCTGTTTTCCGTGGGTTGTTCTTATTAGAATCTCCTTTGTTTTGTCAGCATCTCTTAACAAAGACTTGATCTTTTTCATATTACCGATCATGGGTTTTTTCCTTTACCGTTCATGTCTCTTTCCTTTGTCTTGTTTTTGGATTATTGTTTGGTTATTTATGGTTTCTGGACATTGATATTCCGTTTGTCACTTGGATTCTGTCTCTTTGTCCACATTTCTGGGCAAAGATTCTCTTTTCCCCCTCAATTCTATCTGTTTGAACGGAAAGTCTGTCGCTTTAAGATGATTTGAAGATCAATCGTGTGGGTTTTGCTTCAAATCCAATACCACAAGTTCCCTTCGGTTTGAACTTTTCCATGTAGGGTATGATTTGGAATTGGACAAAGATTTCATTAAACAAGTGTGTGTTGTTGTTGACTTTGATCATTTCCAGGGACTGATCCTACAACTCGGGAACATTGAAACTGTGTGTTGATTCACCTCAAAAAAACACTTACTGGTCGGATCTGGACATGGCTATGCAAACTGTGTATTTGAAGGGAAGAGAGGGAATTGCGGGGAATACTCCAGTCGGGCAGCTTCTGTCTGCTCCACAGACCACTTGGTGGAATGTTTTGGGATCTCAGCCTTTGCCTTTGGCCACAGACAGAGGTGCTGTCCGAGAGCCAGAACAAGGAATGAATAAGCAGAACTCTGCAACTCAGTTCACTCTCTCTACTGGTAAAATCTACTTCCTTTTCTGAATTTTCCACCACACCAAGCTGTTAAGGAGCATGATAAAGAACGTGGAAAGTTTCTTTCTGAAATTCAGAATTCAAGAATGTAGTTTGAGAATGTTCTTGAATACAATATCACAATGCTACTATGATGCTTTAGGAGTTACTTTGAGTGGCCAGACTTTGGTGTGAGTGAACATTAATGAGCTGAATTCTCTGAAAGAGGCTAGTCTTCTTCTTCTCCAGGGTTTCGGAATCTTCTTCGTGTTAACCATGTTGCGGTGAACGGATATTAACAACTTCTACTTGTTTGGTGCTTCGATACATCAAACGGGTTTTACATAAACATAGAGAAGATATCGAATTTCTCAGACAATCTAACTGTAAATGACTGATGTAAGAACAATTTTCTGTTTTAGGTGATGGGAAGAATTCAAGGGACGTGCTAAAATCTCAAGGATGCTTCACAACACAATCAGCTTGCTTTGAGTTTGGATTTGCTCAGCCTCCGGTTCGATTTTTCTAAACCCATTCTTGCAACCGAATAGTATAGAACATCTTGAGACGATTTGTTTTCTTGATGAGTGTACCCGCGGGTATCTGAAAATCTTGTGGACATGTCATAAATACACGAAACTCGAGTACTGCTGGTATCTAACCCGCAGATACCCGGTTTTTGGTACCAGGCCTTTCACGGGGTTCAGGATAGGTTATCTTCTTATTACTCGTCTCATGGGTACAAGTAATTAAAAATTGATGACAGGTACCTGCGGTATCCATGTGCATTTTGTTGGGTACCCGATACCCTTGGTCCCTTGGATATGAGTACGGGTATCAAATTATGATATTCGAGACCCGTTTGATGCATGTTTTGGTCGGGGTATCCGATTCGTGTCCATCTCTACTAGAATTCTCAAAGCTTGATGAATTTTAACAATATAGATTCATGGTTGAAGCAGGGGAGAATGATGCTGCCTCTGAACATGGAAACAGAAGATGGCCCCATATATGTGAATGCAAAGCAGTACCATGGAATCATAAGACGCCGCCAGTTCCGTGCAAAGGCTATTCTTGAGAACAAAGCTGCTAAATGCAGTAAGGTACATAGACCTATTCATCTTACGTTTATCGGCTTTACCTTTATGAAGTCATAATCTTTCTGAAACTCCCTCACTCGGGTTTTTATGTCGCAGCAACCATATAAACATTACTCGCGCCATCTCCACGCAATGCGACGTCCAAGAGGATCCGGTGGACGTTTCTTGAACACCAAAGCTATGATGAACAAGGAAAGAGATGAAGCAAAGCAGCCTCAGCCGAGTAACTCTCAGAACTCAGAAGTTGTCCATCCGGAAAACGGGACCATGAATTCGTTAAGGGATGGAAAAGGGTCGGGTGTCTCGGGATCAGAAGCGACGAGCATGGATTGCTTTCTTGGCTCTTCCGTCCATTCCCATTCTGGAATGGTCATGCCCAGCAAGTGGGTTGCAGCAGTAGCAGCCATGGATAATGGCTGCTGCAACCTCAGATTTTGACATATGCGAGGGGACGAGACAGGACCTGTTGACCATTGTCTTTGGGCACGAGTCCTGTCCCTTGCATATGAGCCGAATGGAGAGAACTCTTGCCGTGGAAAATGGCAAGAGCTCTATAGGTTTAAAGGATTGTCCCTTTGCCAGACCCATTTGGCTCCAGGCAAATCATCTTTGGCTCATCCTCATCCATTAAGGTTGTTGTTTTCCATCTCCAGTATGCATCTCTGTCGGATTTGAGGTGCAGAGAGAGATGGTGAATGGCCTTAATTTATCAACTTTTAAGTGCATATTGAAGTAGAAAGTAGAAAACTGGTGAAGAACAGTGATTGAGCTTGTGTGTGTGTGTGTCTGAAACTCTGTTGCTTGAATTTTCTGTGTTGTGTTGATATCTGAAACATGGTTTGAGTTCCAAGTTTATGTATCATATGGTCGAAACCTCTGTGTTTGGTGTTTGTAATAATCTTGAACTTGTTTCTACATTCTCTATTCATTGATATTGTTTTTTTTATATTGCATTAATATATTGGTATTGAACCAAAGCTATACTTCTGAATATCCGAAATTTTGAATATTGGCTAATCAATTTTCGGGGTCGAGTTTTGGTTGGAGATTACCTGTGTCCTGCGGATACCCGAGCCAAAGGGGAAAGAAGGTGAACGAGAGGGAGGTTGCAGGTTGAAGGTTTTGACCATTACTTTGCCTTTACCACTCGTCGTCGTTCTCTCCTGTATTTCCCTGCATCAGTCGGATACCCGCAAATGGGTTCACCTCCACGGCATACTGCGGGTACCAGAATTCAGATACCGATCTTCACAAGACGGGGATCGGATAGTCTGATTGGTACATTTCTTACCAAAGCCCCCAAGTTCTCAACATTTTCAAAAATGAAATAAAACGGTGATATTAGCATCAAACCAAATGGGGAACACAATTCTAAAAAATGTACACAAGCAGACCAAAACATTCGAAAACATGTAAAAATAGACGAAGTTGAAACAAACAAAAAAACATATATCCAAACAATGAGCCTCACTTCAACGCAATAAACGCCGAGCCTGAGTCGGAGGAGTCGGTGCCGATGGAGGCGGCGGTGCTTGAGTTGCAGCCGGTTGGCTTCCGCCTCCACCGCCTCCGCCATTGCTCTGCCATGGCTTTACAACGGCCAAAACCACGACGACGACGATGATGAGGAGGATGATAATGGCGTAGCATGTCCATTTGCGCGTGTTCTTCTGGTAAACCCTAGCTGTGTGGAGCTGCTCGGTCCCTCCCCTGACGAAGGAGCTGGCTCTGGCCACGTGGCTCTCTATGTCGTCGAGCTGAGCTCCCTGGTGCTCGACCAGTACCGCCATGTCCAGGAACACCTGGTGCAGCTCCTTGAGGTTCTTCTCTATCTCCTTTACTGCGTCGTGCCTCTCTTGGATCTCGTTGATGGTGTCTAGTATTCTCCCTCTTCCCTGTTCTTGAATCGCTTTCTGCAAGAATCTCTCGCTCTCTCCTGCAAAAAATGGTGAAAACCCAGAGTTCATTTCCATGGCGATTTAGTTCAACATGTGATGTTATCAGATTTCTGAAACTCAATAGCTAAAGATCTGTTCATCAAATGATTTTGAGAAACAAGTTTCCAAACTATGTGATCATCGATCTCAGAGATGGTTTTGGTTCCTTATATCAAACCCAGATGATCATGATCGTACTGGACTTAATCTTCCATGTTGAAATCGTATCAGCTTACCTGTAGAAATCAGACGATCTAAGGTTTCTTCGTTGGGGTTTTCTCCGGTGACGGTGAAATACCTCCGCTGCACGGTCTCTCTGTACTCCGACGAAATCTTCTCCCTCAAGCGATTGAAACTCTCCATTGAATCCTTCAATTTCTTCCTGAGGCCATTGACGACAGAGGTCCGAGTCCTGTCGGAAGAAGATCCGGGTCCGCAACCGGGTAGGCTCCGATTCGCGGCATTGGAGCGATCAAGAGCTTCGAGTTTCACCTTGATCATCTTCGCCTTCTTCAGCGCCGCCGCGACGTCGCCGTCCATCTTCGATCGGAGATCCTTCACGGCCTTCGCGTTATGAAGCGTCTTGCTCTGCTCGTGACACGATTGGAGCGTGTCGTTGAGTCGATCCAGCTCCTTCAACTCGTCCTTCACCGATTCAACGTCCTCGAAGAACTTGTCGAGGTTCACGCCGCCGGTGGATCCCACCGCCTCCGTCATCTGCACTCCGCCGCCGCGGCGAGGGGATGGTTCGCCGCTGCGGAAGCGGGAGAAGGAACCGGAGAAGAGATCGTTCATGGCGGCGGACTCCGATTCGCAAAACCCGATCGATTGGGGACAAACGAGAACAAACCCAGATGAGAGGAGAGTGTATCAGAGAAAACCCAGATCAAGATTTCGAGCGAGAGAGAGAGACTTATGGAGGAGGAAATGGCGTGCGTGTTGGTTCAAGCACACGGTTTATTGAATAAGAGAGAGAGGAAAAGTCAAACGGATTTTTCCGGGAAAGGAAAAATGGAGAGAGGGAGAAGAAGAGGTCAAAGATGGAGACTGTAAAATTGGGAAGAAGATGAAGTAAAATATCGACGAAGACTCCATGATTGACTTGGAAGCTGTGAGGAAGTAACGATGGCGGAGAAGCAAAGGTTGAAATACGAAACATGCAAAACAATCTCTCGACAAATTTGCCGAATTATCGAAAAATAATATATTTTGGTTTCCTATTTTTCTTCCTTTAAAAAAAATTAAATTAGAAAATGTGCTAAGAAACTTTTAAAAATTGTTGAGAAACTCTTAGCTGGAAAATATCTTACCATATATTACAATTTTTCATACAATTATAAAAAAATGTTAGATATTTTAAAAAAAAATTGAGAACAAAAAATAAAATTTTAATTATAATATAATAATTAAATTTAACATATACACAAAAAAATAATTTTTGTTATAAAAGTTAGATAATATTTAAACTATGGGTATATAAAAAAAAATAGATAATATCTAAGTTTTCGTTTGGATATTTTTCTTTGCGTTGGTACAAGTAGGTGTTTTATAAATGTTGGGTGATGTCTACCCACTTCAACTTGTATTATAATTTACATATGTTGACTAACAAATTGACGAGAGCTCTTCACCATTTATATATATTTGTATGTATAATTATTTATATGGATAATTATGTTGTATATCTATGTGAAAATACTTTTATGTATAGATGTTTTTATATCTATTGGTATACATGTATACATACATGATATATATTGCTTTCATATGTACTCTACACCGACTTTGTAAAATGTGACCTTTTCATACACGAATTTTTAATTTGAAAAAAAACTATACCAAATTATCAAATGTGCCAAATTGATACACGAACTACCCAATTTAACTGCAATTTCCTATACAATCCGAAAACGGTGTTAAGTGTCCGTTAAACGCTGACATGGTACGCCACATAGATTTTTTGCCATATCAGCATGCCACGTCGGATTTTTAAAAAAAATCCGAAAAATATGAAAAAAAATCAATTTTTTTTAAAATAAAAATAAAATAAATAAACAGCAAAATATATATATACATATATATTCATATCTATATACAAATAAAAATATAAATATATATACAAAATAAAAAAACATACACATATATATACAAACATCTATACAAATATATATACATATACATACAAACAAATATATTTATATATACATATACATATATAAATACATATATATATGTATATATATACATATGCATATACATACATATATACATACATATATACATATATACAAAATAAAAAAATCATATATATATATATATATTCATATCCACATATAAATACAAATATAAATATAAATACTTCTATGTATATATATTTCTATATATATCAAATAAAAATATACACATATATATATGCATTTATACAAATATATATGCATATACATACATACAAATATATTTATATATATACATATACATATATATAAATACGTATGCACGTATATATATGAATATATATTTATAATATTTGTATTTGTACATAGATATGAATACATATATATACATATATATGTATTTATATATATGTATGTGTATATATATAAATATATTTGTATGTATGTATATGCATATATATTTGTATAAATACATGTATATATGTGTATATTTTTATTTGATATATATAGAAATATATATACATAGAAGTATTTATATTTATATTTGTATTTATATGTGGATATGAATATATATATATATATATATATATGAATTTTTTTTATTTTGTATATATGTATGTATGTATATTCATATATATACGTGTATACTATTTATATATATGTATATGTATATATATAAATATATTTGTATGTATGTATATGCATATATATATACATATATATGTATTTATATATGTATATGTATATATAAATATATTTGTTTGTATGTATATGTATATATATTTGTATATATATGTGTATATTTTTTTATTTTGTATATATATTTATATTTTTATTTGTATATAGATATGAATATATATGTGTATATATATATTTTTTTTGCTGTTCATTTATTTTTATTTTTTATTTTTTTTTAAATTTCGATTTTTTTCATATTTTTTTGGATTTTTTTAAAAATCTGACGTATCATACTTATGTGGCAAAAAAATCTATGTGGCGTGCCACGTCAGCGGTTAACGGATACTTAGGGGACGACTGGTTGCATCGCCACCACCCGCAAACGGAGCGGTTGCGATTTCTGGCGGTTGCGGGCGATTGAAAAACTGACTGGTTGAACCGCCAACCAACCGCAACCGCAACCAAACTTGTTTTTCTAATCGCAGTTTCCGACTTGCGTTTTGGTAGCGGTTTCCGGCGTTTTGACAAAAAAACTAAAATATTTTTATTAGAAATTATATAAAACATTAATATATATATTGGTGATGATTTTGTTTAATGTTATGATTTGATATTATTTTTTAGTATTATATTTTAATAAAAAAAATATAATAGTATAATTTTTAAGTTTAATAATGATTATTTTTAATAATTTTTATAATAAAATTATTTTTTTACTTAAAAATAAATTAAATTGATAATATTTCTATTTTAAATTTATTATTTAATTATTATAAATTTAGTAAATAATTTTTATCAAATGATACGAAAAATTTAATTAAAACTATTATAAAAAATTATTTTTAAATAATATTTTTTTTAACAATTTATATCAAAACACAACCGCAACCGTAATGAACCATTCACTTCTAACTGCACCCACCCGCAATCGCTACCAACAGCAACTTCTCAACCAGTCAGTACTAATCATTTATAATCGCTATCAAACGTTCTGAAAACGCTACCACCCGCAACCGCAACCGCTGCGGTACAACCAGTCGAACCCTTAACATCGTTTTCAGATTGTGTAGGAAATTGCAGTTAAATTGGGTAGTTCGTGTATCAATTTGGCACATTTGATAATTTGGTGTAGTTTTTTGTCAAATTAAAAATTCGTGTAGGAAAAGATCACATTTTACAAAGTCGGTGTAGGAAAATGTCATTTTTCCTATATATATATGTTTTGCTAGGATAGATATTTGGAGTCGCTGAGTACATAATTCGAAAACTCGAACAATATGAAGTTGGATGTGTCGCCTTTGAAAACCCGACCTTGAGTTTAAGGGCGGGTTTTCTCCGACGAAAACCTAAAATTTGGGGAGTTTGGGTCCCAAAATCCGAACTTTTGGATCTCTCTTCCTCAAATCTTGCATCTTCGGACCCAATTCTCGGCTTCGCCTTGCCCTCTCGACCACAATCTCACCCCGAATTTTATCTTCTTTCACTTATCTTTGTTGGCCAGATATTCGATCGGGTACGAAACTCTCAACACATTTACAGATATTTGAAATTCGGATATCCGATGCTTATGAGGCCGGGACCGGGCACCCTTGCCCGAAAATCGGAAGATGGTCTAAAAATTCGGACACTGTCAGTATCCATTGCTAATGATAATATAGATTTAATATTTTTACGATTTAGAAAAACAAATATGATAAAATTTAAATTATATTTTTTATTTGGGTTTTGAGATAATTTTATGGTTCGAGAATTCGAATATTTTACATATTATGTGACGATTTTTATATGTAGTTTACGAAATTATGTTAGATTCTCGTGGTAAAAAAATGAGTAAATTTTAGACAATTTTGGGGAAAGATGGAATGAGCAAATGTTATATATATATAAACCCAAGAGAACTTCTCCTTAGTCTCCTTTTACTTGAAAACCTGAGAAAACCCTCACTTCTACACCGCAGTTGCAGGTACGAAGAAAGGTGAACTCTCGAGCCGAAAAACCCTAATTCTCGAAATCAGCATCCGAATTGGTCGATATTTATGTCTGCCTGAGGACGAACGAGGTTCGAGAACATCAGAAGTAACATGGGTCGATCCGAGCCTTGTGTTCTGTTCGCCCAGACCTTCGTTCATCCCCAATTGGACGAATACGTCGACGAGGTTACCAGATTAGCACCAGCTCTTGTTCTTTTCTTGTGTTATTGGGTTTGTTTCATCTGGGTATCTTGAATCTGGTGAAAGAACGTTTCTTGCGCGAATTGTTGATGAATCTTCGTTGGCGATGGGACTGTGTTGGAGCGAGCGATTCAGTTGCTGGTTTCTAGTTTGATGTCGGAATGTCTTTGTTCTCAGATCTATTGTTCTGTTTGCTTTCTTTTTTGATAGGTTATATTTGCTGAGCCAGTAATCATCACAGCTTGCGAATTCTTGGAGCAGAACGCTTCATCTGCGTCTCAAGCTGTTTCGCTTGTCGGGTGTGTTATCTTGACCATTGAATCTGGTATTTTTACATTTCTTCCTGGATTTTAAGGATTAAGGAGCTGGTAGTAGGATTATCTGCGATCAAAAGTCTCTTCGGGAATACAGTTTTCATGTTGTCTAGTAATTTTTGGATTTAGAATATAACTGGTTCATGGATATTAAGCCGCTTTTAGCGGTAGAAGTCAAATTTTAGGGCTATTTTAGGTTGCTGAAAGAAAAGGGTTAACAGATATTTTAGATGAAGCACATGGAAAAAGGTTTCCGAATGGACCGTTTTTAAAATCTTAGTTAAGTGGATTTGGGATGTATTATGGATGTTTAGCTAAATGTGCTGAGGTTTGTCTGATCTAGGGCAACTTCACCTCCGTCATTTGCATTGGAGGTGTTTGTTCGATGTGAAGGAGAATCAAAGTTTAAGCGTCTTTGTAACCCTTTTCTTTATACTCCGTCAGCGCCATACCCTTTGGAAGTCGAGGTAAACACTATGATATTTCTTTTTTTTTTCCCCTTTCCTTGCTACTTTTATCTTTTGTATTCACATTTTTTATTCATGCGATTAGAACATGATGTTAAGATGACCCTTGGTAAATTTCTCCCCAACTGGGTTTTGATCCTTGTGGAATTCTGGAACACATGCAGGTAGCATCATTTAAAAAGTGATCTATATGCAGTGATTGAGACCAGTACTTCAAAAACTTGGACTAGATTGATTATTTTCTCAGAGAAAACTCAGCACTGTGTTACACAACATATATTGGGTCACAGTTCATTGACCTGCTTCAATAAAAAATTGCAGGCTGTTGTAACTAACCATTTGGTGGTTAGGGGAAGCTATCGAAGTCTAAGCTTGGTCATCTATGGGAACATTGTGAAGGATTTGGGGCAATACAATATCATACTCGAAGGTCGTTCTGTAACTGATATTGTTAGTTCCATTGAAGGTAATCTTGAGGACTTGCCGTTGGTACTACACTCGGTTAGCAGAACAATAGAGGAATGCCTATCCTCGTTGGACATAGTAGCTCTCCCTTCGTCTGCATTAGATATATCTGTTGATGTTAAGCAGTTGTTGCAGCTAATGCTGAAATTCTTTGACCTGGTAGACGCTAGGGGCGCAGTAAATAAAGCGGTGGATATAATATTGTCAACAGCTACTTCTTGTGTAACCCACAACTTAAATTTTTTTGCTACAAATAAGAAATATCCAGATGTGATCAGTTTCCAGGATTCTGGAATGTTGCATGATGTAATTAGCAAGGCTAAGAAAGAGGTTCTTGATCTCTATGAACTTCACCAATCAGAAGTTGTGACATCTGGGTCATCGGCAACATTCAATTTTCTTGAGGCAGAGACAGAGGTGGCTACATCCAAACAGTTGGTCGATATGTTGAACCAGTACATTCATTTTGAAACAGATTCCTCATATATAGCACTTCCACAACTTTCAAAGGTATTACAAAATTCCTTTTAGTCCCTTCCATAGTTTTGCTAAAAAATTTGAATCGATAGTAGATGGGTGAAGTCTTGTTTTTCCTTTTTCAGGGGGAAAACACTCTTCTTGGCTTAAGTGTAGCACTTTTATTATGCTCTGCCAGAGAAGGCTGCCTCCATTTTGTCAATTCGGGGGGAATGAATCAACTTGTATATTTGCTTGGATATGATGTTCAGAAGTCAACTGCCACTACTCTACTGCTGCTCAGAGTTGTTGAGCTGGCTACTCGACATTCAGTTGGTTGCGAAGGATTTTTAGGTTGGTGGCCTCGTGAGGATGGATATATTCCATCTGGCAGGAGTGAGGGCTATTGTCTCCTGCTGAGGTTACTAATGCAAAAACCATGTCATGATATTGCCTCTCTTGCTATTTACGTTCTTCATCGATTGCGAATTTATGAGGTTGTTTCAAGATACGAGGTATTCTCCACAATAAGGATTTTCTCCAAAGGTGTGGCGTTCTTAGGACGTTTGGATTGGTATTGGTACTAATATTTCGTCTGTCAGTTTGCAGTTTTATCAGCATTAGGAAGTCTCTCTAATTCTTTGGGAGATGCGACTCATAATCTAAGTGTGCTGTCTGATGCTAAATCACAACTTCAAAAGCTTCTGGTTTGTTTCTTGTTGTTCTTTCATATTTTCCTTGTCTGGAAGTTGTGTTTTTTAGTTGCTTTTTATATCTATCGTGTAAATAAATCATTTTGACGTGTCAATGGCCTAACTGCTGACTATCTGCAGAAGCTGATTAAGTCATCTGGTGTAGCAGAAGATCCTTCACCCTCATCCAATGCAGAAAGAAGTTTGGTTTTAGGCCATCCAGATGGGTGGTTGTCATATAAAGCAACTAGTAGACTCATTGCTTCGTCGGCCTATCCCTTTTCTAGCTTTGAGATTGACTTGCACGTGTTGTTGCTTCTAAAGGTACATTGCTTGGTCGGAATAGTGGATAATAATGTTTTAACTTTAATCTATAATTATGGTCTTAGCTGCTGAAAGTTGTCAGCGTATTGTCTGGAAAATGTGCAATCTCAGTGCCTCAGGCTGCTATGCTGCTCTGAACTGTTTCAACTCTTGCCACAATTCCTGTTTAAACTGGATCTCATCTGTATTGCCATTTCTTCATCTCAATTGCATTCTGAAGTTGGAAACCACATAGATGTCTTGCCAATTTTAGCTTAGTTTTTTTTTCATGGATTTTCTAGTCGCTAACTTTACTTGACTCAATTCACTATTGTGCAGGAGCGGGGTTTTCTTCCTTTGTCAGCTGCACTTCTTTCATCATCTCTGTTTCATTCTGAAGTTGGAGGCTACATGGATGTCTTCACTGATATTGCACTGTCCGTCGGGAACATAATTCTTTCATTAATGCTTTCCCGCACTGGTATATTCCTTTTTGTTTTCTCATTGCACGACTCTTCACCTTTGGACACTATTATTTTCCTGAATGAATATAATTATAGCATGTTTCTTTCCTTTCTAGGATTGAGTTTTTTGCTACATCATCCTCAACTGACTGCCACAATAATTCAATCCCTAAAGGGTTCCAGCGACTTGAACAAGGAAGAATGTGCCCCTCTTCGCTATGCATCATCTTTGATATCCAAGGGTTTTACCTGCAGCTTGCTGGAAGTTGGAATAAACCTTGAAGTGCATTTGAGGATGGTGGGTTCATTTTAGCATGGAAAGACATGCTTGATATTTTTCCTTGTATATATCTACGCCTATATCAGACAAGCTTTATCTCACGCTGTACTCAGGTTAGCGCAATAGATCGGTTGCTGAAATCGACTCCACAAACTGAAGAATTTCTATGGAATTTATGGGAACTGCGTGATCTTTCGAGGTGAGTAATGCATTTTTTCATATTTGGTGTCTAAAGATTGGATTTTGTTCTTCTCCAATTTATCTGTATAAGTAAAACTTGAAGGCTTTTACTGCGATTGCAGGTCTGACTGTGGGCGTGAAGCTTTAATAGCATTAGGCTTTTTCCCAGAGGTATGATTCTGGAGGCTAGACAGAAATAATATAAATTATCTGTCTTCTTCTTGTAGTTTTGGTGTTTGAGATTGTCATGGATGTGCATAAACTTTAATTTTCTTGCTCTTATCTGTCACAAATTCTGTGATTCATTTTATATTGGCTTCCTTTGAAGCTCATACATGGTCAAACTTTTCACGGTGAAGAAGAATGGGCGGATGGGAATGATTAAGTAGCACTTTTTCCAATGCTATATAGGAATCTGTTGTGCTTTAGTGAACCCTTTTTCAAAGAACCACTTGATGATTTGTAAACAATGTGTTACCCCTCTTTCACCCTTTGCTGGTCATGTACTCTTCAAAGAAAGCACTAAATGCTCCTCTAACCTTGCTATGAATAGAATTTAAAGGTTTTCAACTGTCAACAACCAGGATATAGCCATATAGGATTTTATATAATAGTTGAATCTGCAAATTTATTTAATATTAGGGGCTTTTCAATCAATAGAAAAGCTATTAGGGCTTATTGATCTCTTCTCTGATAATTGTAAAATAATTTTTGTTGTTTTGTGCTTGACAGCGATCTCTAAGTATTTAACTTGTAGTAAGATGATAAAAGGGAAGTATCATATTCGATCGAACTGGTGTTTATTGTAGGATGATTGAACAATCACCTTATTGCTCATGCAATCTTTGTAACAGCATTGATATTCACTGTTATGAGTTCACATGTTCAAACTGGGATACTTATGGTGGTTGTTGATTTCCTCTACCCATATTTTTTAGGCTTTAACAGTCCTGATTGAAGCTTTGCATTCAGTCAAGGATACGGAACCAACGATTGAAAATAGTGGTACTGACATTGCTTTTTGATTGAGTTTACTGTATTGGTTTGTATCTGGTCAGTTTCCTTAACAACCTCTTACTTTTGTAACATTTTCATTTTCAGGAATTTCGCCTCTTAATTTAGCAATATTTCTCTCGGCTGCTGAGATTTTTGAAGTAATTGTATCCGACTCAACTGCATCATCTCTGCATGCTTGGATCGAACATGCCCCAGAACTTCATAAGGCTTTGCATTCTTCTTCCTCGGGCGGTTCAAATAGAAAAGATGCCCCTTCACGGCTACTAAAATGGATTGATGCTGGTGTGGTTTACCACAAACATGGGGCAGTCGGCCTTCTACGTTATGGAGCTGTCTTAGCTTCTGGAGGTGATGCTCAATTATCCTCATCAAACATTCTTGCACTGGATTTAGCACCGGCCGAAAATGTTGTCGGAGAATCATCTACTGTCTCTGAGATTAATGTCTTGGAGAATCTTGCGAAAATAATCTTCGAGAAGTCATTCGAAGGCGTTAGCCTTTCTGACTCATCAATTTCTCAGATGACGACAACAGTGAGGATTTTGTCGTCAATAGCAGAGAATCCAGTATGTCACTTGACCCAGTATTATGTCCAGAAATTATTTTCGCTATTGATGTCATAATCTTCTAAGTGTTATGCTGTGAATGGTTTGCATTGTACAGACTGTTGCAGCTGCTTTGTATGATGAGGGTGCAGTGACATTTGTGTATGCTGTTTTGGTCAACTGCAGCTATATGTTTGAGAGATCTTCGAATATTTACGGTACATCACTGTACACTATGCTATTTGACCCTCTTATTGTCTTGGCAGCTAGTTGACCCTGTTATGTTTGAGAAGTGTTGATGAAAGGTGGTGGAAAATTTTAAATCATTCACTAGCTGAACACTTTTGTGCCTTTACCTTTATATTGACAGAAAATAGGTTTCTGAACAAACAATCACTACTTATCATTTATATTCTGATATAATGTTTCTGTTATTTTGCGCTAAACAGATTACCTGGTGGATGATGATCATAAATGCAGTTCTATTTCTGACTTTCTGTCAGAACGTAATCGTGAGCAGAGCTTAGTGAGCTTGTTAATTCCCTCCCTTGTCCTTCTGATATCTGTTCTGCAGAAGATACAGGTTTGTAACACTTAACATCACTTGTTGGAAGCAAAGAACCATCTTCTTATGTTCAATGTTGTTTGCTTCAGAGATTCTTGAAACCCACTACTGTTGATTGGGAAAAATTGTTAATAGTTGTCACCAAATGGTCCGACCATTGCTGAACAAATTTGTTGAGGACCATTTCTCAAGAACCATTACTTTTTTGCTCGTATCACTCTTGCTTATCTTTCTTTTATTTGCTGCTTGTTTATTGAGCTTGCCGAGTTTTTCATTTTGACGCATTTGTGTCACTGTTCTCACATCTGACGTGGTATTCTGTCTTAAGGAAGCTAAGGAACAGTATAGAAACACCAAACTGATGAATGCTCTCTTAAGGTTGCATCGGGAGGTTAGGTAAGGAGTTCGTTTTGCATTTAGATTTTAGAGTAGTTTATGTCTCATAATGAGTTTACATGTGTATTTGATTGTCATAAAATGTTGTTTTTTGGGCCTTCCAGTACGAAACTAGCTGCTTGTGCAGCTGATTTGTCCTCTCATTATCCAGACTCTGCACTTGGCTTTGGGGCAGTTTGCCATCTTATCGTGTCTGCCCTTGCCTGCTGGCCAGTTTATGGATGGATTCCTGGTCTTTTCCATTCTCTTCTTTCGGGTGTCCAAACTACCTCTGTTCCTGCATTGGGGGCAAAGGAGACATGCAGTTTACTTTGCATTTTGGTATGTAAGTGTTCCATTTTCTTTGTTTTTCCCAATTGTAAATTTGCTAATCATATTTTGCTCAATAATTCTGTTGCCATTTGCCATCCAACGTTCCTCTGTTAATCTCTTGTTTCCAGTAGAGTAGATAGAACTATCAGAATGGTCTCTGTTCCTCTTGGCGTTAGTTCAAGATGGCTTTATCTGAATATCTACTTATCTTTCTCCTTGCAAGAGTGATATGCTTCCTGGGGAAGGAGTCTGGTTTTGGAAGAATGGGATGCCCTTGCTGAGCAGTCTCAGAAAGTTGGCTGTTGGAACATTATTGGGTCCTCAGAAGGAGAAACAGATCAACTGGTATCTTGAGCCTGGGCCCCTTGAAAAGCTAATAAACCATTTGACACCAAATCTTGACAAGATCGCCCAAGTTATCCAGCATCATGCAGCATCTGTATGAACTTCTTTCTTGTTCTTTCTGCTGCAATGACTTCTGTGAGCCTCTGTGTGACAGTGACAACACATCATGATTTACATCTCCATGATTTTGGTTTTCAAATAGGCATTGGCAGTCATTCAGGATATGCTTAGAGTTTTTATTGTTCGTCTTGCTTGCCAAAGGGCTGAACATGCTTCTGCTCTTCTCCGCCCCATATTTTCGTCCGTAAGAGAGAGTATTTTGGACCTGTCTTCTACGTCGTATACTGAAGCTTATAAGGTGCCTTTTTCTGCCTCGGTGACATTTGGCTGTTTATATGTACTGATTCTAATTACTTTTACTACTTTTTTAGGTCTACAGATTTCTACATTTCCTTGCTGGTTTATTAGAGCATCCACGTGCCAAGGTCATATTCATTTGGTTGCTACCCTAGTTTCGGTTTTCTTTATCTTGTACTTTTCCATCTGTCATTTAATTATTTTCTTATTTATTTCAGGGATTATTGTTAGAAGAGGGTATTGTTCAGTTGCTTGTGGAAGTTCTTGAAAGATGCTACAATGCCACTTATTTAAGTGACGAAAGGGGTGGAGAGAACGAACATGCTTCTGAGTGTGGTTTGATTTGTTGGTGCATTCCACTTTTCAAATCGGTCTCGTCACTATGTGATTCTCAAGTGTCTGTTTCATGTTTTCAGAAAAAGGAGCTGTAAGTTCTCCTTTGCTATATCATGTAGCGTCAGGCTTTTTTTGTGTATGTTTAGATCTTGTAGCATACATGTATTAATATTACCCTTGAGAATGTAGATCGTAGAACTTACTACTGAATTTCTATTGACTTGGACAGATTGACCAGTTTGAGCGCAAAAGATTGTTCTTCCATTTTCCCTTATGTACTGAAGTTCTGTCAGGTACACGGAATTTCATTGATTACAGAGCTATCTTTATTGATCAATTGTTCTCCTTACAATTTCTAGTGGATCGTCTGCTCTTTATGTGCTGTCTCATTTAGACCCTTTGAGAAGGCGGTCATAAACAGGAATGAAATGCTACAGTGTCAAGATTTTAAATAATAGTTCTCACCTTTAATTTATATATAATTCCACTTCATGATAGCCATGGGAGAGTAATCCTAGCTTTAAACCTTGTTTTTTTATATATTCTAAGTGATAATAACGGAGAAAGAGTTTCTTGTCCCAGGTATTGCCTGTTGGGAATGAGCTGTTATCTTGTCTTTTAGCTTTCAGAGATCTGGTCTCATGCAGTGAAGGCCGAGACGGTGTGGATTCGCTTCTACTTTCTCTCTTTTCTGGTGCCGATGAATCTGAATCTGAAAGGTGGCCCGTTAGTAAGAATGAGAGTCTCAACCTAATGGAAATGAAGAAAAATCCCCCCTTTCTGTCATGCTGGATCAAGTTATTGGACTCAGTTAGCTCAAAAGATGGTTTGTCTAGTCATGCAGCTAAAGCAGTTAAAGCTCTGAGCCTGGGTTCGTTGAGATTATGCTTTGATGGTAAAAGGTGAGCTATTGGTTTCTTATTAATCTATTAATGTACTGTTCATGTAGGCTCCTCATGTTTGATGATATTTGACATTGTTAGACTCTATAACAATTGTTTTAACATTAATGAACATAGGTTTGCTTAGTGTCTACTTTTCTTCCTTGTTTTACCAGTTTGGATTCAGAAAAGGTTGCAGCACTCAAATTCCTCTTCGGCATTGCTAGTGATGCTAGTGATGAAAGCGGTGCAGATAATTTTCAAGAAGAAAACATTATTTTTATTGAAGAAATGGTTACGCTGTTCAGTTCAATGACTTCTGAATCTGATAGTTCAGGAAAAAGTGAGATGCAAACCTTGAACGAGGTATGGATACGAGATGGTTCATATTTCCCTA